ATATAAATGTTTGTTTGCTAAAATAGAGTGTTTTATTAAACATCCAGTAAAATTTGAATGAAGAAAAAAAAAAAAACACCCTGCTAAAAACTGCTGATCAGGCCTATCTGAGAACTGTCTGGGTGTGGCCTAGTATTCAGCCCCACTGTCCAACTCTACTAGCCTGTCGTGGTGTTCATGCTGAACTGAGCACAATAGCGCAAGAAAGGATAAATGAGTTAACTCTTAAACAGTTTACATTTACAGTCACATTTTAGACTGCCCGCTAACCCCCACCCCCATGTCCATGGTACTCTAAAAACATGATCCTAATTTTATGTGGCTTAAGGTGAGTCTCTTATTCATTTGACTCCTGGATGTACACTGATGGAATGTTAGTACGGCCAGTTAGACAGTGATCAAATAACAGACATGCAAACAGACGGACAGAGGAGGAAATTGCTAGCTTGGTTATGCTGACTGGGTTAACATTCACTCTCTGGTTAGCTTTTGCTCCTAAGTTACTCATATTGGAAGACAGCAAGACTGTTGTGCTAGTTTTGTTAAAGCTGTGTGGGTGGGACAAGCCATATCTGCATTGGAGAGGGTAAGACGTACAGGCCTAGGGCCACCCAGTTTACACTTTGGCAAAATACAGTACTGTGCAAAAATCAGAGACCACTTTTTCATCTATTTAATGTCCAATCAAAATGGCCATTAGTTATTTCAGCATCACATATTTTTTCAGTATTTAGTGTGTCCACTCTTTACCTTTATTACGGCCACCACTCTTCTCAGGAGGCTTGCTTTCCGAAATCTGCAGTAATGTACAATGAAGGGAAAGAAGTATTCAGACGTTTTTGTTTTTGCCATTGAACATACCTCCTGCATATATCCACTTCACATTTACCCACATAATGTCTCTTGACTAAAACAGATGTTCTTATATGAACAAAAAAGCATGCATTCACAAGCTTAGTGTACTGCAGGATTCAGACACTATATTGAAATATAAATTTATGTAAAGATTAAAAGTAAAAATAGATTTCTACATATTACACATATGATTGTATATGTTAATGCTGCAAAAATAAAAAATATTCTTCTGCATATTGCACCGGGTGTCATCGTAAAAAATGGCAGGAAGCCAGCAGTCACTGGAAAAGAGTTGCAGGATGACCTGAGAGCAGGAGAAACAACAGTAACTCAGAGAACAATAAGCAGTGAACTGCACCCCCAGTACTCTGCATCCAAAATTTACACACAAGCATTTAGACAAATCTGACCTCCTTTGGAACAGTGTACAGTAATTCAGCTTGTCATGTATGGAGAGAGAAGGGATGGGCAAATGATCTCAAGAACACTCTACACCCAGTGAAGTGCGGAGGTGGGAGCATTATGACATGGGGCTGCTTCTCTGCACACTGTACTGGAGCATTACACATCATTAAAGGAAACATGAGTGGTGATGTACAGGGACATATTAGAGGAGATTAGAGGAGACAATGACCCCAAATATACAAGATAACTCAAGAATGATTGACCTAGCCTGGTCTCCTTACTTACATTGAAAATGTATGGATATTTGTTTTGAAATTGTGAGTCCAACAGCTCCTCAATAAGCTTAGGGTATTTAAGGCAGTTTCTTGAGAGAAACTGGCCGACATTGAGCCACATTACTGCAAAAAGCTTATTACTTGTTGCTGTTGATGTTTTGAAGCTGTAATTGCGATGGCTTTGTCACAAAGTACCAATATTATACATTTGTGTCTGAATACATCTATATCAGTTTCATTTTTTATTCACATCTTTATGTTTATGAAAACATGCTTTTTTGTTAATATTTGTGAATAAAAAAGTCAAAGGATATGTATTTAAATTTAAAGTGGATATAAGATTAATTTGAAGTGGGTATATGCGTCGGAAATGCATTAACTTTTTAGCTCCCAACAGAATTCTAAAGCACTGTAGCCCTAACAGTTCACTGTACGCCTCTATCTCGACAAAACCTGGGACACCCTACCCCTGAGCATGAACACATAAAACGGAGGGGTAAGGGCTGAGTGGTAGGGGCAAGGGGGGAAATGGGATTGGGCCTTGAAATTGATGGTCGAACATTTTGAAAGAATGGTCTCTGGATTTTGCGCAGTACTGCGTATCAGTCATTTAATGGACATTGGGAAAATTATTCATAAGATATGCTTTATACATGTATAGTGTGTGCCCACAAGAGCAACCTAATCAGAAATAAAACAGGTTTAGCTTCCCTGGGGCTTAGTATGCAGTTAGTGTGTGCACAGTTTACATGATTAGCTGTAGCTTCAGTATATCGAACATATATTTCAGATGCATTCCGGTCGTATCAAGACACATTTTCCACTCGTACACTACATCTGGCCCGCTGTCCCTGAAATCAAAAAAATGGGTCGCATAATCACACCAGGTCATGTCAGGCTTGCCCCCTGCCACTCTGCTGAGAAACAATGAGGAAAGATAAAAATTTGATTGACTGAGTGATTTCCCCTCACTTCACCTTTGAGTCCCCTGTCTCAGTGAGGATTCGGTGCCTCTTTTCTGCGGTGGGAGAGTGACAGTGACATGCCCATCATGCTGAATACACTGGAGTCATCTCTCCTTCCCCTCGCCATGCCTCGTTTCCGCCCTCCATCTTTAAATCAATATTTGAGGGAAAGGTGGTCTACATGCTCTGTGCTGCATATCTCTGGGGAGCAGCAGGCGCTGTGGCCGGCCGCGCTGCGCTGGGTTTTAAAGGCAGGGATCAGACAGTACAGAGCACAGACACTAAATCAATGGCCTTATCCACAACCTCACTCCGCCTGAGGAGAACAATGCATTTCTATCAGAAGATTATATTTGCTCAGGAGCCTCTGACCCCCCGGCCTCCTCCACCACCCTCCTACTTTAAACTGGAAATAATGTTCCGTTAGCCTTCACTTCATTCCTGCTTTCTTATTTATCCCTTTTTTCAGCCTTCACACTTTATTATGTCTGTCCTCTTCTTTTCTTAAAAAAAAAAAGGTAATCTGATTTTCTATCAATCTTCCTTTCCTTAGATGTCTGCTTGTGTCTGTCCTTTTTAAATGTAATTACATGATCACTTACATGGTTAGATACATAATAAATTACTTTTATATTTGATTTACATTCTATATCAACATGGACTGTACATATTCGACTGTTTTTGAGGTTTTGTCAGTATATGACAGACAGATGGCAAAAATATAAAGGATTGTTTTTTTCTTTTCTACCAAACATTAGCATTCCAGTGCACACAGCAAAATATTATTTATGCATAAGAGTAACTTTGCAAAACCGAAAACAAAATAATTGTGTTGAACAACAGTAACTTTACGATACATAAAATAAAGTATTCTTTCCTCAAAACAGTAACTTTACAATATGTACAACAAGATATTTTTTTCTTCAAAACAGTAACTTTACAGTATTTACAACAAAATATTCTTTCCTTAAAACAGTAAATGTACAATACATAAAACAAAATATTTGTGTTGTTTGACGTGATCGTGTGAGTTTCAGGGTGCTTTACATTAAGCAACCCAAGTGCAGTTCAGTTTCTAACTAAAGTTGCATGAAAGTTCCACTGTGTAAACCACTGTGTAAAATCATTTCAGTGATGATACATTCCTAATTTGTCTGAGCCTGAAGTGTTTCATGTCTCCTTTTGGTCCAGTGCTGGTCCTCCAAAGGAAATTTAGTAGAATCACCAGTAAGTCTCCTCAGTCATCAAAGAACAACACAGAGCACTACAGTGAGTAAGTGCTGAATGTTGACGGCGGCGTGCACCATCATTAAAAACTTTTGGACTTGATGCGACGGTGCTGCCTGGTGTGCAGTAGCCTTTAAGGGTCAATTGCTCATCTGTTAAGTTATCCAACTTTGAATGTGTTTTATGTGTGCTATAACAGGCAGAATGAAGAGTATGTGTGGTGTTCTTATGCTGTGTGATTACATTACTGTATTGTTTCTTTCTTTTTCCTTGCCTTCTTAAGTTTCTCTCTGTCTGTTAGCTCTGCAGAAGAGGGGGCAGGTTGAGTTGTGCCGAAGGCCTAAAGCGTAGCCCTCATCAGCTGAGCTCTGCAGCTGGGACAGGCTGCACTGCACAGCCAGCTTCTTATGTCACGCAGTCGTTAATATTGATTCACTTAACTGGCTGAGCCTAATCTATGCAGGGCTAGTCAGGCTTGCCGGGGAAAATTTTACGCCTCGGGATAGATGCCATGTTTGCAGTCATTTGACTCGGTCCATAGCCCTGCAAGACCCATAACATCTCTCTCTCTCTGTTTCCCTCTCTCTCTCTCTCTCTCTCTCTCTCTCTCTCTCTCTCTCTTTCTCTTTCTGTTTCTCTCCGTTTCTCTCTCTCTCACTCGCTCTCTCTGTCTCTCTCTCTCCTTCTTTTTCTCTCTCTCCTTCCATCTCTCAACCTTTTTTCTCTCATTCTCTCTTTCTTTTACTTATTTCCTTATTTTTCTCATCTCTTTCTCCCTCCTATCTCTCATACTCTCATTCTTGTGATGTCTTTCTCTTGCTCATTTTTCTCCTCTATTTCTCTTTTTCCTCTTTCCTGCTCTATTTCTGTTTTTCTCTTGCTCTTTTTTGTTCTCACCTTTTTCTCTTTCCCTCTCTGTCTTTCTCTCTCTCTCTCTCTCTCTCTCTCTCTCTCTCTCTCTCTCTTACTCTCTCTCTCTTTTTTCTTTCACGTGTTCTCTCTCTGTCCCTTTCTTTCCTTCTTTCTTTTTTCTCACTTTCCCTCCTTTTGCTTTCTCAATCTTTTTCTCTTTCACATTCTTTCTCTTTTTCTTGCTCTCTTCCTTTGTCTCTCTTGCTTTTTTCTCCATATTTATTATGTTGCTCCATCTCTCTCTTCCCTTTTCTCAATCTCTTTTTCTCACTCTCTTTCTTCATCTTTTCTCTCTCTCTCTCTCTCTCTCTCTCTCTCTCTCTCTCTCTCTCTCTTTCTTTTCCCTCCATCTCTCTTGCAGACACTCCACACAGCAGCAAACTAATAAAGTTATTACAAGCACAAGCCAACTTATCAAACAGCTCTCTGACATCATCAGCGGCTCCTCACGGGTAAAAACTTCCTTTCCTTTCATTTTAACTTTCATATATCTTTATACTCACACACTGAATATATCATTACATTCATGGACCAAGAATACTGTACAGTGTGCACTGATTTTCTAAACATGGATGTTTACCTGAGTCATGAACTGTCTGGGATTTTCAATGGTGAATCATCATTGGCAGAATCATTTATTTCAGGCCTGAGTTTAATCCAGAAAACTGGCATTGTATTGTCCAACCACATTACTCATAGCTTTGCACTGTATGTCACATACTGCATTGAATGGAATTTATGAATAGATTCATAATAATGTATGACATAAGTAGCGGAAGGATACTAACATGCAGTGATGAAGGAAAGCTGCATCAAGCTGAATGAATTACATAATGGTCTAAATAAGACAGACACGTTATTCTATATTTATTTTGTTCTCTAAATGAGGAGTTTTCTCTCCACAGCAAGACCGACTGCGCCTGACAAGGCTGAAGACAGAACTGTCGGAGTCAGTGCAGCGTTATGGAGACCTGCAGAAGGTGAACATGCTGTAGAGTCTCTTCTTTCATGCAGTCATCAGTGTGTAAACACTCAGTAAAAATACGCCGCTGCTCTGATGGTAGTTAATAACGATCACGCATGATGTGCTTGTTCAGACGTCTGATTTAAAGCGGAAAAAGAAATCCATTTTGAATGTGTCTTTGGTTGGACTGTTGTACTGTTGACTGTTCATGCAATTTACATACTAATATCATTTGTCTCTTTGCATCAGAAAATTGCAGATCGTTCAAGGGCCTTACTTCCACCAGCGCAAAATGACAGAAAACAGGTGAGTGGATACAATATTCTCAGAGGCCAGCGTGGAAAAAATTACTCCAAAAAATTCAGTGTGAAAAAAAAAGATTGAAGTGGACTTTTAGTTAAATTTACTCAAAGAAGCTGTAAAGAAAGTTGCATTATACTTTTAAGTTAACCACACTTTTACAATAGCGGCAAGTCAAACCTTTTAAAAGATGGTTGTCACTTTCGTCAAGCATTATTTCTTGAAACAAGCGAAGTGATCTGCCAGTCCAGTAGTCAACAAGTTAAGTAAACATTCATAGAAATAGGTTAAATAATCTTATAACTGTTTTACAACAGTTTCATTATTGAAAATATCAGACACATTCCTTACATTTAAGTATGGCTGCTGCCAAGCTAGAACTACCAAGCCTTAGCAGGAACTGCTAAACAAATAGCATACACCACCAAAGATTTATCAAGAAATATCAAAACAAAGCAAGTGCTACCAAACTATAGCAAGAACCACCAAACTATAGGAAAAACTACAAACCATGGCAAGAACTACAAACGTATAGCAAGAGCTACCAAAACTATAGTAAGAACTATGAAACCATAGCAAATACTGATAAACTACAGCAAAAAAACGCCAAATTATAGCAGGGACTACCAAACCATAGCAAGAACTGCCAAACATACACTGTTGTAAATAAAGGTTCTGTGCAGGTAAATTTTTTGTTCATCAAGGTACAAATAATGTAATTGTTCCCTCAAAGGTGGTAACAGTGGTTTTAAGGTCCAATTGTGCACCTTAAATAAGTTTTTCCCAGTGAAAAGTACGTTTTTGTCCCTGTTAATAACGTAATGTTTTAAAACAGAACAATAAAACAAAAAGCCTGGAGACAAGACGGGGTGTGTGGAGTCAATACAAATTAGAAAATAGAATTTCAATGGATTATGGTACAATTATGTTCCCTGACTAAATGTACTACCGAACCTACAGCAAATGTCAAACTCATAGCAAGAGTTACCAAACCATAACTATCAAACTACAAAAAAAACTACCAAACTAAAGCAAGAACTATCAAACCACAGCAAGTACTGACCAACTATATTAAGAACCACCAAACAATAGCAAGGACTACCAAATGTATAGCAAGAACTACCAAACCCGTAGCATGAACTATCAAACCTATAGCAAAGACAGTAAAACTTACAAAAAGAGCTACCAAACCTATAACATTAACTACCAAACCTATAGCATTAAGTACCAAATCTCATCAAGTATTGCCAAACGTATAGCAAGTACTACCAAACCATAAGTACCAATCCTATAGCATGAACCACCAATCCTATTGTATGAACTGCCAAACCTATAGCATGAACTACCAAATCTCAGCAAGTACTGCCAAACATATAGCTAGAACTACCAAACCATAACTACCAAACCTAAAGCGTGAACTACTAAACCTATAGCATAAACTACCAAATCTCAGCAAGTATTGCCAAACATATAGGAAGAACTACCAAACCATAAGTACCAAACCTATAACATATACTGCTAAACCTATAGCGTGAAATGCCAAACCTAAAGCATGAACTACCAAATCTCAGCAAGTAATGACAAACATACAGCATGAACTACCAAACCACAAGTACTACAAAACTATAGCTTAAAATCTATTTAATATACAGTAATAGTCCTGAATGACTTGAAGCTGTTAGGATATTATGCACATGATAAAATAATATATGTGATATCACATATCAAGACAATGAATGAACTGATAGCGACTCTGCACCTACGTGAGTGTGCGTATATGCTTTTGGCAGAAAATGGTTGATTTGTCAGCCAGGCAGAAAATTTCACTGCAGCTTAGCCAGATAAGAAAGAGAGTATTACAGTGAAAGACACCTGACAGACAGACGGGACAGACAGACGTTTATAGAAACCACATCCTGATTCAGAATCAGAGATTAGTCTAAATAAGACTTTTCACCAGGCATTCCGAGTTCTGAGAGGCGAGACTCTCTGTAAATAGCCGCAGAGCTGAATGCCGTTTTTGAAATACATGAGAAGTGACATCCATAAGGTCATATCCTTTCATATATGACATCTTTTTCTTGATATTGCATACTGCCATAGTGTGTCAGACTGACACACACACACACACACACACACACACAAAAAAAGAATTTAGTTCTTGGATGTCACTCCAAAACTGCACATCAGAATTCCTCAACTGTCATGCACCTGTGATGTAGACATGGCAGCTCACAGATACAGCCTGCAGTCTCAGCCGTGCTTCAAAACGCCCTTCTCTTTTTTCTTACTCACTCCACACTCTGCCGTGTAGCGTCTGGAGACGTTTGCTTTCATGTGCAGCTGTGTCACCTGTGGCTGCCTCCCTCATGTTCTCGTCTCCGCTGTCAGTTCCTCTCGCAGACTCCCAGCAGCAAGAGCCATCAAACAGGAATATGCAATCGTATTAAAATACAAATGCAAAGATCACAACCAAGGCAAACAATGCAGCGGAGTGGTTTGTAAAGTATCAGATAGTGTTTGAGCGCTGTTTGATTGCCAAGCTCCACCTGAGTCTCATTTTTTGGAGATCAAAGCAGGAAGCAATTCGGTATCAGCGCAGGCAATCTCGGAGCGTGTCATCAAACTGACTCCAATTTGTACAGAAATGTTTCCGCGGGGAAGGGTCTCGGGTTGTGTGAGGATAAGGCCAGAGCCGTTTCTCTGAAACATCTGAATTCTGCTAGATTCTAGCCCGAGCTTCTCAGACCTTCACACTGTAGAATGGAAATGAACCTTCTCAGTGAAACCTTCAGTAAATGTATGTTTTTGTGTGCGCTGTAATGTTCTTTTAGTGCTGGATGTGATCCAGAAAATGATTATTTTTCCTCCGCGCTCTTAATCTAGCTGGCCGTGATCCACAGAGCAGAACAGAAAATTACTCCAAGCCTTTTTTTTCCCCTCTTTTTTAGTTTTTACTTTGGGCAATAATATCTAAATAATGTGTTCTTTCAGGCAGATGTGCAAAGAACATTATTACTAATCATTTTTACTGACTGACTGACTGGCTGACTAAGTGATTGGCTGACTCATTAATTCATTGATAGTGGATATGAGGCGCTGTCGTATTCAGGGATTGGTTTCCACTTACTCCAGTCAATCAACCAAGACATGTTTGGTGTCCGAATTTTTACTGGAGCTACCAGACCAGAAATACAGCTCCCGCATCTCACTCAAACAGGATCCTTGTCTTCATTAAGCTCTCGCAGGTTTGTCGATGTGGTTTAGAGCACAGTCTGACTTACTGTGAACTATAAAAATTAACCAAATATCACTGCGTAGCTGAACAAAGCAGGCAGCCTCTTTAGACAACAGGGCCCGTTTTATAGAAACTTCTTAGCTGAAATCTTATCTGCTTAGTCACCATGACAGCTTTAGGTAGGACTGCATTTAGGACAGAGGCCATTACAGAACAACGGTTCTTAAGTAATCTTGTCCTGACTCCAGATAAGAAAACAGTATTACAGAAACATCCTAACTGGACAAAATTTCCTAAATTCTGTTCTAAATTTAAGACAACCCAAGAGGTGTCTTACCTCCTGTTTTACCCATCTGTTTTGTGCAGTGACAGGCAGCACAGTTCACTATAACTAGCGTAATATTGAACATTGAAAACGCTACTTTGACCCATGAGAGTTTTTTCAAACAGCGTTTTAAAAACCCCAAACGCTGCAGACATGATCTCCACCATCCCCTCTTATTACCTTCATGTGTTAATGTTGATGAAACCTCATCAGGTAAAATATTACAGTGATGGTGGTGAATAACGAGGAGACAGAGCTGAGTGTGTGTCTGTTTATTAGGTGGAATAACGTTAGCATTGGCTAAAGCTTTAGGGAAACTGAAACTGAAAGAGCAGCGACGCTCTGATAAACAGTTGCAGTTGCACTTGCAGTTTATCGCACTTTAGTTTTGTCTGACTTTTTTTGTTAATCAGGAACAGTAGCTAGCCGTGTGGTTAACTAGCTTGATCACTTTGATTATGTGTTTACATTCGAGCTGTGCGTGTATGGTCGGTTGCTAGGTAACAGACATAACAGTTGACTGTTGACTTTGATTGAGTAAGATAAGATTTCTTAACTTGAGATAAGATGCTGTAAGATAAGATTCCTACATTAAGATTTGCATCTGTGACACAAATTTGTGAAAAATCTGATTTGGACCTGTCAGTTAAGACAAAAAGATAGGAGGTTTCTGTAATACGGCCCCAGATGTTTCGCTGAATTCTGACTACGCCATGTAATCTTGCTCACTTTTCATGGTCACGTGAGTCATTAACATGCATCATTACCTTATGAGCAGTTAGTTATGAAAAGAAACAACATAAATTGTGAATGTACTGTAGCATCCATTTAACTGCATGATAAGCGTACATGTGTAGAGAAGTCAGAATTTCACGCTACACCTGCTCGTGAAGCAGCAGCTGTAGTTGTTATAGTTCTCTGTGTGACATAAAGATGACCAGGATGTGGTGTGAGAGGAGAAATTTTCAGGGATTTGCTGGAAAAAATAAATAAATAAATAAATAAACTTCTAATGTATGTTAGTAGCATTAGCTTAATAACTCCAGTTCTGATCTAAAGAGAGAAAATTTGAACACCAGACATGTCCTGGCTGATTGACGTCTGTGGAAAATTGCATGAATTTGATTTTTCACTGAACCATTCCTTGAATGTAAATTAATGTACTGTGTCTGTTTTGATTTTGCCTCTTTTGCACGTTTAACTTTAGTGAAGGTGTCTTTACAAAGTTTTCACTTGCAATATGAGGCCTAAGAGTCAGACTATGATATTAAAAATACATTCATTTCATTAAGGCTGCTGCTATATCATATGTAAGACCAGAGTGAGGTTCCCAGCTTAATCTTTCTGATCCTGTGACATAATATATCTGTCTGCAAAGGTCATAAGTATAACTTTGTCAGTGTGACTAAAGCATTTTTATCCATTCAAAAGCCATAAATGATA